TTTCATCATTTCAGGGAAATTCTCCTACAGCAAATCTTGGACAATTTTCTCAGTGGTTTTGTTTTTCTCTTCCTGTTCTGGAATTCCAATGACATGTAAGCTATTCCTTTTGATGGTATCACACATGAACCTTAGGCTTTCTTCATTTTGTTTTGATTTTTTTTCCGATTGATCCTTTTCCGAAGAAGTATTCAGGTATTTTTCTTCGATCTCATTAATTCTGTCTCCCATTGCATCAATTATTCTCCTTTGCCCTTCCAATGTGCTATCTATTTCCAATAATTTAGTATTAATCTTCTGGATTTCTATCTGCAGATTTAGAATCATTTCTAATTTTTCATTTGTCATTTTGTTCTTGTATTTTCTTGAAAAATTCTTCCAAGGTTTTTTCTGTGTTTTCTTTGGTTTGTCTCTCAATGCTTTGAAGATACCTAAAGATAATTCTTTTCAATTCCTTATCAGAGAGTTCCAATGCTGCTTCTTCCTCAGGGATATGTTCTGGGTCTGTATCCTGCTTCCTTGTTTCTACCACTTTTTCCTGCTTCTTTGTGTGGACTGTGATGGTCTGTTATTTCTGAGGCATCGTGACATTGTTGTATTTAGATTTCTGTTACTATTTGTGAAGAGCAGCCAAGGTTGATTCAGGCTCTTCTTGGTATTTTTTTTATTGTTGGCCTGTTGGTGGAGGAGGAGGAAGTGGCTCTCGCTCAGTAAGTGAAATTGTAGGAGGTGTGGGTGTAGTTGTGTTTTGTGAGGACTGTTGTTGTCTCCCACTCAGTTAGATACAAATTACAATTGAATAACCATCAAAAAACTAAAAGCCCATGGATGAAAAACACACCATGTAATCACATAGGAGCATTAACCAAAAAAAGAAAAAAGGGAAAAAAAGGAAGAAAAAAAAAGCAAACCTGCAATATCTGGGGACAGGGCACTAAGAAAAAAAAAAAAGTAGGGAAGGAGAACAATAAATGAAGAGAAAAATAGGAAAAATGCAAAACGAGAAACAAGGAATGGGCTTAATCACAAGAAAAGAGGGGAAAAAGTAAAAAGAAAAAAAAACTTAAATTTTTGGGGGAAAAAAAGAAAGGAAAAAAAAATTTCAACCAGGCACAAGGAAAAGAAAAAGTGCTGAAAACTAGGACCTGGTAGGGGAAGATTAAGAATAATAATAAAAGGACAAAAGTATTAGTAATATTAGTTGTTTTAAAACAGACAAATACAAGCAAACTAATCACCAGAAAAAAGAATGCCAAAAAGAAAAAAATAAAAATGAAAATAAAAAATTGGTGGAGGATAGGGTAGGGTACCCAGGCTCCGTCTGAGCACAGACTGTGATGGAGTTCCTGTAGGCCCAGAAGGTAGGGGGAGTGGGGGGTGGCCATACCTCCGTTCACCAAGCGGGTGTACGCTGTAGTAACAAGGAGAATGTTGTACCTTTTAAGTCTTGCAGGTCCCTAATGTCCTTGGGGTTGCTGGAAAGCAGAAGTGTTCTTAAGCCTCAGAAATCTGTTAGCGCGCTATCTCTTTAAATATCCACAATAGTCAAGCCGCTTTTTAAACCTTCAAAATGGCGGTGCCCTGCGGACCGGCAAAAGTCCACAGTTCAGCCCCCTTTCTCTTCACCTTCGCCGTTTGTTCCCCAGCCACCGTGCACAGTCCTCCCTGCAGTCCCTGGCTAGTAGGGTGATTTTTAAGTTAATTCTTAGGTCCTTTCACCACTCGGGAATCTCCAAGCTGTCTGTACCATCAGGATTGCTCAGGATTGCTGGCAGACTGCAGCTATGTCTCCTTTTTCAGTATTTTCACGCAAATTCTTCTGCTAGTTGGGGTTTAGTCCACTTCTATATCCTTCCCTTTGAGGCTCAGGGGTACAAGATTATCTTCTGTGTCTGTGTTAATTGGTTTGCCTTTTCTTTGTTGAAGAGGGTCTGTGCAGTCTTTCTGCCTAGTCCGCCATCTTGCTGGAACCCTTCCAAGAGTCATTTATCTTGAACATACCTTGATGACCTACTACCTCATTAAACACTACAGTTAGTTCTGTGTTTGGAGACCTCTTTATTCATTTGACTAACCAAAAGTATTTTAAAATACTTTTAACCATTCCCTTTATCTGGCCCTGTTTGAAAATGGGAGGAAGGGAACCAATCACTCATCATACATATCCCATTTCATCCTGGGGATTTAATGGCCTCTGGATCTGACTTACAGCAGTGAGTTTGGTTTTTTTGTTTTTTTTGGTGTTCTACAAAAGGTCTGCCCACCCCTTCCCACTTTCTATCCTAAAAACAGAAAAATCCTGTTGTGAGAGGAAAAGAATAGAGGTTAGTTGGCTGGTCTTTATATTCTAAAATGTACATACAGTTAGATAGCCATTAAAATAATACTAGAGGAATGTCTAATAAAAGCAAACACTTCTATCTTAGAATTGAATCAAAATAGCACACTACAGGTTAAGGAGCTGAGAATAGAAACATATTAATACATCTTTTGTTCAAATGGTTAAGATAAAAGGTGATAAACATGGTTTTTCGATCTTCGACTCTTCTATCTTCTTTCAAAAAAACTCAAATGGATTCCAGATTTCTTTTGTTCAAGTTCTGTAGTACACAGTCAACAATCAACAACTTGCTTTTCAAAATACTGGATGCCAGAGCAAACCTACATGCTGTCTGCTTACCTGCTATATCAGTGCGTCTACCCAACCTGGCTGGAATACTTCTTGTATAATGTAGACACATCATCAATTGCATAATCATTGGTAGCCCTAATGTACTACCCATTCCATATATCTGCAGTTAACCTTCTATACCAGCACACACCTTCACTTCTTCTTCATACTGGAATCTCCGTTTGCTCACGATGATATCTTCAATACCCCGTCTATCACCAAACTTCTTCTCAAAGACTGTATAATTTTTAAAGAGTTCTTGGGCCTCTTGCTTTGAAATTCTGTCCAGGGCATACTTGTAGATCACTCGTACCCTTTCAAACTAAAAACAGGCAGGATGATTACCTTCTGAAAAACAATATTCCAATTTTAGTATTCCAATTTTTACAATATTCCAATTTTTAGTATTATTAAAATAATACCAATATAAAATAATAACATAATAATAATTGGTATTATTAAAATATTATTTAAAAATAATACCAAAATTTTAATTTGGTGAATAGTCATGACATGAAATATTAATTCCAAGTATGTTTTGGGAAGAAAGGCCTGGCAATCTACTTCCAAAAATCAGCCAATGAAAATCCTATAGATCACAATGGTATAATCTGCAACCAGTCATGGGAATGGTGCAGGACCGGGCTGTATTTCATTCTGTTGTGCATGGGATTGCAATGAGTCATGGGACAACTTGGTGGCAGCTAACAATAACAGAGTTATATTTCTGAGACTTCAAAATGACCAAAATAAGACTTTTCTTCTCTCTTATGTTGGTGCTACTTGTGGAAAGGATGATTTCGTTCCTGTCATCGTGCCTCACATTCACTCCATCAATAAGCCACCTCCTGACCATAGCTCTTTACTTTCCTCCATCCCCTGCCAACTTATCTACATTTCTTACCTGGACCATTTCAAAAGTTTCTCTTTTAAGACTCCCTGCTTTCTATTTTGTTACTTTGCTTCCAATACCTTCTGCATGACTTAGCTAGAGGCTCTCTTTAAAATATATAATATTCTCTTGCCCAAAACCTTTCACTGCTTTCCACAGCCCTTAGAATAAAATCTGAACTCTCTGTCATGATCTGGGAATGACCTTTTGGTAAAATGAGTTCCTTTAGATGGCCTTTTGCCTTAGTTTTGTGGAATAACAACTTGAGAAAATTTCCCATTAAACTTGAGGAGTTACCTTTACCCCAGTTTTCTATCCCAGAGAATTTGTTACCTTTCTTAGGTAAGCTGTAAGCAACTTGACTTGATACTTTTTGTCTGGTCCTGAGCTGCAACCTAGCCTATAGTTGGTATGCACCTTGCAGGGATTGGTCAATATACTATGCAAATGAGCTGACTATAGCCTACTTTGCAAATGAAATATCTATGGCCTACTGAGAAGTGATTGGTCAGTCTGTAGACCCCCCCACTGTCCTTGAAATTGACAAGGAGTTATGTATATAAGCAGCCAACCCCACAGAGGTGTTTCAGACAGATAGATACAGTCAGACAGAAACAAGGAAGGAGGAAGTGTATAGAAGCAGAGTGAGAAGAAGCGAGGAACCTCCTAAAAGAACTGTAACATGGGTCAAGGGCTATAACACTGAAGACAGTGAGAGGCCCAGGCCCAGATGGGGCCTAGTAGCAGGGCTGCTGGTGACAGGTCCAGAAGATGCCCTGCAGCAGTCAGTGCTGACAGACAACAGGGCCAAGATGAGCCTGTCCTGAGGGGCCCGAGACGAGATTTGTCCTGAAGGTGCAGAAAATAGGCCTGCATGCCTGAGAGGAGCTGAGAGCTATCCTGCACTAAGAAGGGAGAATTCATCAGCATGCACCCTGACCCTGATCCCGTGTTGTAGCCTAATGATCTTGATCCTGGGTTGTACTCTGTTACCTCCTTAATAAACCAGTTAACAGTAAGTATGGTATGTGAGTTCTGTGTGGTCAGTGTAATAGATTATTGAACCCAGCAGAGCAGTGAGTGCTATGGGAGGCACAGACGGTGTCAGAACTGGTAAAAAGGGTTGAGGGGTAGAGGTATGTCTGATATCTACCTCATAGGAATCAGCTTTGCCCTGAAGTTAGATCAGTTCTGATGCCACTCCTCCTCATCCCACCCTTTTATAACCCTGCATTTGGACCTCAGCCAACCTCTCTCAACTCTGTAGTATATGAACAACTTTCAGGGATGATTTTCCATCTACACTATGAAAAAAAAGAATGTACTTATTTATGGGGCAATCTCTGCTTTCATTTCAAATTCTGTTCTCTATTCTGAAGGCTCTGGGTTTTTTGTTTTCCTGGCTTGTTACCTGTAAAGCCCGTTAATAAGGATGCCAAATAACTAACCCTCAGCTTATACACAGATTTAAAGGCTTAATTTTTACACAAAACATACAAAATGAAAAGTTATATATGTAATGCAGAGTTGCCGAGACACCAGGACACGGAGTTGTTTCAGAGAAGTAGTTTATTAGCACTCCCGGGCGAGGTTCTCGTGCCCTAGCATCAAGGCCAGAGAAGTTGCACCCCCGGGCAGGGGGGATAGATTCTTATAGACGCAGAGAGGACCTAATTGGGGACACTAAGGAAATGACAGGGTCCAGTTAGCTGTTGGCACATTTCTGCACCTAATTAGCATGAGGGGGCTTCACAAGAGGAAGCTTGCCACTGCATGGGACTTTCCAGTCTGGGTGGGTTCTGTTACCTCGGTTGTTTTATTAGGCTGTCTCATCAGGGCCTGACACCTGGAGGAAGCTGCCAACTGAAATGTTGGCAGCTTGGGTTTACTTCGGCCTAACAATATAGAATCTATAATCACTCAGGTCCCAATCTGTAGCACAGCCATGAGTTCAAGCTGGTTCATTTGAGAGACTGTTAAACGTAAATTTAAAGATATTTTCTCTGAGGGTAAGTAAGAAACTCAAACTCACTGCCACCTAGTCGGATCCAACTCATAGTGACCCCTCCTTGAGTTTCTGAGGCAGTATCACTACAGGAGTAGATTGCCCAAAAAATAAATTCAGTGTTCACAAGAAATAATCTCTTCTAAGTTGTTTTGTGACACAACAGGATTTTTAAAGCATACTTACTTCTTTCTGATTTTCTTCAAATTTGGCAAAGGCAACATAAAGATGTTCATCCATATGTTCATCTCCAAAGAATTCAACAGCTCTTTCATACACTTTCCGGGCATGGGCAAAATAACCATGTTTTTCTTCAAAGCGAGCATACTTGATCCAGTTCTTAACATCAGGATGTACAAGGACAAGTGCAGAGGAATTAAAGAAACACTGGAGTCCTGAGTAGGTGGCTTAAAATAAACCAAATAAACCAAGAAATAGCCCAAACACTTGACAATGCAAACTACTGTGATAGAAGAGATGTTATATAACACATAGGAAGACAAAGTACTAAACTATGACCTCTGTGAGGGGAGGGGCTGTGTCTTATTTATTTCTACTTTTTTCCAGTGCTTATTCAATATATTAGTAGTACATATAAACAAGAACTTGGAGTTAAAAAGAAAAATCACTAGAATGTGATCTTAGACAAATCATTTAAACTGTCTAAATTTCAGTTTTTTCATGTCAACAGGAGAACTAATTATCAACCTCACTGGATTTCTGCCAGGTTTACATGATGAAATGAATGTAAAGTTCTTAGCACTTTTTTCACCCAAAGTGTATGTTCAATAAATGGTACCTATTTCATGCTCAATAACATTAATACTTGAATAATTAAGAAAAAAAAGCATGTCACAAGAAGCATTGTGAACTGGAGGCAAATGAAAATTTTGAATTACCATTTTATCTCTTAAAAGGATCTATTTTTAAATATAATTTTTAAAAGATGTAAAAAGTGTATCTATTTTTAATCTCCCTTCCTTGAGGAAATCAATAATTTCAAAAGTAGTAATACTTTCAAATAAGCAAAGAGGTTAGGAGCACAGGTTCTACTCTGCAAATCCTACTTCCATCATTACCTTGTTAGGCCTTGGGCAAGCTATAAATCTTATGTGCCTTGGTTTCCTCATCTGTAGAATGCAGTAGTTCCTACATCACAGGGTTGTCATGAAGATTAAATGACTTTAATAAGTATAAAGTGCTTAAATCCCAGACACACAGCAAGAGCTATAAAAGCTTTTGTTAAACTAATAATATTAAAGTGAGTAGAGATAATTAAGATCTTAACATTGCATAATGCTTCAGTTCCTAAACGTGCTTTCATGTGTACCACTTAATCTTCACAATTCACTTACAGCAGATATTTTTACTCTTGTTTTAAAGATAAGTGTACTTTAGAGTGAAATGACTCGCTGAGGCCACACAGCTAGCAAGCAGCAAAGCTTTTGATTACAATGCCAGGAACAGTGCTAGTGACCAAAACAAACCTTAGAAAAACAGAACTGGCTATAGCAACCAGGACTTTAGTATGTCACTTTCCACAAGGAACCACACAATAAATCCAAGAACTCACTAGAAAAGAGTTAATTACCACAAATAAATCCACAGACTTTTAGTGTGAACAGTCTATGACTCCAGAAAATGAAATGGATAAATCTCACATCCTAGATTTCTAGTCAGAATCAATGACTACGTTTCCTGACCATTCATGACAGCCATCTCCCTGTGGGGAGGCAGTAACTTTGTCCAAAAGGATATATCGTTCATAGATGGTGCGGGCTCGATCCACCTCTTTGTACCTCAGCTCAAAGTTGATGTAGGAATGCCAGGCTTGCTCCTCGGGCTGCCACTCCATCCAGCGCTCAAACACCTGCCTGGCACCAGCAACATTTCCCAACATCTCCTCCATGTATGTGTACTTGTACCTGTAACAAAATTATCCAAAAAATCTGTTATGGTCAAAATGACTTAGGGAAGAAATGCTCTTTGGTTATTTCTAGTTCTTTCTTTGTTAAATGTGATGGAGATTTAAATCTTTATCTTCTCTCAGTTAAATCAAACAAGATTCTTATTAAGATATAAATCTGAAAACACATTAATCATTGGAAAGCTTTCTTTCCCCTTAAAAATTACCAGGTTTGACAAGTTTCTTATGCATATGACTGCAATCAGTTTTAGTTATGATTACACAGTTACTAAGCACTGACTAACTTAGACAATAATTGTTGTTGTTGTTGTTATTTGTCGTTGAGTCAGACCCGACTCATAGCGACCCTCCTTGGGTTTCTGAGGCAGTATCACTACGGAAGTAGATCGCCCAACCTTTTTTCCGAGGCTTGGCTGGTGGGTTTAAACCACCAGTCTTCTGGTTAGCAGTCAAGTGCCTTAGGCACTATGCTACCAGAGCTCCTTAGACAATAATATGTACTTAAAATTGTTCTGTGTTACATCAGAAACTCACCAAAACTGGTTGACTCGTGGGAGAGTTGTTATCGCCCGGTCCCAGATATTTCGCGCATGGTTGACCTGGCGATTCTTCATTTCCATTTCTGCATATTTCAGCCAGAGTGTAATATTTCGATAGTCCACATCTAAAGCACGCTCGTATATAGACCGAGCCCTTAAGAAGCAAGATTTGGAGGACATCAAAAATAATACATATAACATATGTGGCGATGATTCCAAACTATGTGTAAGAACCTACTATTTTAATGGGTATCATGGCTCACGGGTATGGACCAGGCTCTGGACATAAAAAGATGGAAGGTACGAGGCTTGTTCTCAGAGATATTACAAAGTCTTATAAAAAGATAAATAGGCATGTAATTATAATGTAATGTGATAAATCTGCACCAGAAAACAGAGCAGAAGAAATGAAAATGTGTGATAGAAAAGGCTAAGTAGTAGGTAATGTCACAATTGAGCATTTGAGGAAAGCTTCTGTTTACCAAAAGAACAGCCAAGTGTCCAATTAAGGATACATGGTGTGTTCAGGGGTGTGAGTACAGCAAAGGCAGGGAGTATGCCAGGAGAACAGGGAGAGGCTAGACAACACGAAGGGCCTGGTCATGACAACAGATCATGCTCAGATTTTCATCCTGTTGGCCACTGGATTTCAGTGGAACACTTTATGATAAAAAAAATTCAATATATAGAAAGCAGATGGAACTGAGCTTCTCTGGTTATGGAGGGTGTGGTGGTAGTGATAGCACTTCTGTAGGCTTGTACTGCTGTCTCCTCCAGACTATCCTACCGCAGTACTCTAAGGACCATCAAAGGAACTGTAGGATTGCATGGAACAAATCTGAAAATTACTGCCAAGGACATAATCTTTTGCTTATGCTTTATTTTTTTTTCTAATTTTCTGTACCCATTACCTTATTCAGATATAAAATTACCCTTTTAACAATTTTACCTTTGAATCTCTTTCAGACTTTCTTCCCATTGTGCATACTTTATCCAGTTACTGATCACGGTCCTGTTTTTCCTTATATTATCTTCAAAAGTCTGGAGAGATGCAAAAAGAGTCAAATGAGAGGGAAAACAACCAAAAGTGACATCATCCTTTGCTTATTAATCTTTATATTTAAAAAAGTGTTCATTCTGTTCTTATTTGAGAGAAATGACATTCTGGAATCCTTGAGGAATAAGAAATCCACTAAAGAAGATTAGAATCACAGGTGTTTCTTTAAAGTCTTACAATGCAAGCAAAAAGAAAATTATAGACAAAGATGAGCATAATAATCAACATTTTCTCCTGTTACTTATGACAACTAACCAATACTTCAAGCTATAGTTGTTCCTAATAAGAGAATGTTTTTTCCTACTACTTTTAAATCTTCTTGGTAATATCTCAGAATTTCATACATATCTCATTGAAAATAGCCAATAAATATACACAATAGGGTAAGTGGTTTAAAATAAGTTTACATTTTAGGGTAGAAAAGTTATCATATCCTAAAGCCTTCTCACAGCTCTTTCCCAGGTCTTAACAGATCACTGTACACAACAGAAGTACACAATTCAGTTTTACTAGTACTCCCTTCTTACAGCTGTCAGTTGTTCTATCAATTAAACTTCTATCTATATTCAATTTGGCATCAAAAATTATCTCTCTGGTGGATTTAATTTCTTTATGCTTTAAAACAGACCCTCATGACACACTTAAAACAGTTCAGCAAAATGCAATCACCTGGTATCCAAAAGTTGTATTATTCACGTGGCTAGAAATACTAACCTCCTCTTCTCTTATAGAGTCTCTAATCAATGAGGAACTTTCCAAACTCTGAGGTACACATTCTTAACAATATTAATAGGCTCTTTGAAGAAAACACACTGACTGACCTTCCTTTTCCTTAGTTTGTAATCATTTAACTCTTCTTCATCTGTGATCTTCTGTTGAGGTGGAGGTGGAAGAAGCTCAAGTTCTCTCTCTTTAGCTTCTCTTAGGAGCTGCTCAGCAGTTATCTGTACCTCAGCTGGGGCTTTGTTTTTTACCTTTGAAGGCAAAAGAAATGTTTGAAAACCAAATGAACATTTTTTAGTGTGTGATCCTCCTAAGCATTATTACAAGATATTCTGTTTGCATGACATGTTCCCATTTCTCTATGAGGCTGAGTAGAAAAAAGATTTTTTTTTATCTTACATATGGTATGTGTTACCCACCCAAACCAAAACCACTGCCATCAAGTCAATTCCAACTCACAGTGACCCCCACTGGGTTTCCAAACCTGTAAATCTTTACAGAACTACATTGCTTCATCTTCCTCTCATGGAGCAGCTGGTGGGTTTGAACTGCCAACTTTATGGTCAGCAGCCAAATGCCTTACCCATTACACTAGCAGAGCTCCTTTATGCATTAACCAAGCCATGTTGTTGTTGTTGTTATGTGCCATCGAGTCGGCCCGACTCGACCAAGCCATAGGTTAAAAAAAAAAAAAAGTCTCAGGAGAAAAAGTAGTAAAAATAATAACAAATTTGCCCTTTTAGTTTAGTACAATAAACTATGAGGCAGTCCAAGTAAAATCCTCACCAGATGTTTTGCTTTATCAAGGTATGTAAAATGTTTTACCTAGCTTTACAACTTCTAAATCCATTGCCGCCAGTTGATTATGACCCATAATGACCCTGTAGAACAGAGCAGAACTGCTGGATAGTTTCTAAAGCTGTAATCTTTATGGAAGCAGACTGACACATCTTCCTGTAGAGGAGCTGGTGGGTTCAAACTGCAGACTTTTTGGTTAGCAGTAAATGTTTATGCACTGCGCCACCAGAGTTCCTTATTACAACCTCTACTTATAGGATTCTTCATTTCTCATAATGCCCTGGACAGATGATAGGGTTTATTTTTTAAAAAAAATTATATTGTAATCTGTGTGCAAATTTACAAAGCAGATTCATTTTACTCTCAATGGTTCATGTACATTTGGTTTCATTGCCCCAATTACAATTCCAACCATCAAAAGCTCTCCTCCTATCTCCTCCCTGTGACCACTCCCTCCCTGTGCTCTTCTTATCCATGCATTCGTCTCTGTCCAGCTTTCCCTCTATGTGAAACTTGCCTTTCTGATGTCTAATCGTTGACTGATCTAAGAGGTACATCTCCCTGGGGTAGATGTTTTGCTTGTAGGTCTTTCTACTATTGGGCTGAGAGCTAATCTGTGGAAGTGAGTCCACTTCCAGGTGCGAAGGATAACCAGGCCACAGTCTGGGGTGTTCCACTAGTCTCTGTCTGACAAGTAATTCTGGTGATAGGGTTTGGTTTTTAATAGCATTTCATATCAAAGACAATATTCAGTAAGTGCCCATCATTATAGACTGTGAGCTTCTTGATATCTTAGAGCTGTATTGTCCAACATGCTAGTCAAAAGCCACATGTGGTGAGTCCAAATCTGAGGTGGCTGTAAGTATAAAATACCCATTGGATTTTGAAGGCTTAGTATAAAAAAAAAAATACTTCACCAAAACTTTTTAATATTAATTACTTGCTGAGATGACAATATTTTGGTCACTGGATTAAGCGAATTATTCAAACTAATTTAACTTTATGTTTTAACATGGCTACAAGAATGTTTAAAATTATTCAAGGGGCATGTATTATATTTTTATTGGACAGTGCTCTCTTATATTCAGTCTTGCTCATTATTGTTTCCTTCACAACTCTTTTTACATAGGAGGTGCCCAATAAAAATTCATGGAATTGAAGTATAAAAACTATTTAATGCCACACATAAAACAATGCTAAAAGTAATGAAGATAGCTTATATTTAATGATCACTAAGTACCAGATGGTGCTCTGGTAGCACTGTGGATAAGACATTTGGCTGCTAACCAGAAGGTCAGGGGTTCAAGCCTGCCAGCCACTCTGATGAAGGAAGATGGGGAATGTACTTTGGTAAAGATTTACAGCCTTGGAAACCTAATGGCAGTTGTCATGAGTCGGAATCAACTCTACGACAGTAAGTTTGGCTTTTTTCTTTTTTTTTAAAGTGCCAAATACTGCGTTAAGTGCTTTATATTCATTATCTAAAGGAGTCATCTAAATGGAGATGTAAAAGTCAACTTCAAGAGAGGCTTCTAGACTGTAGATATAGATCAGAGAAACAGTGTCTGTAAAGGATTAGCCCCCAAACCCGTCACATATTAAGCATTCAATAGAGTCCCTATGAATCAGAATCTACTCCATAACAATAGCTTTGGTTTGTGGCTTAAGTATCAGCCATCAATGGAAATGTCAATTTTACTGTTTAATCAGTTTAATTTACACCACTACACAATCTTGGATTTATACTCTCCTCTCTCCGTTGGGCTAACTCCTACTCAGTCTTCGAGTCTCAGCTTAAAATCATTTCCTTAGCGAAGTTTTCTCTGAAGACCTCCTAATCCCCTCCCTTTCAATTCACGCCCATGGCATTTTCTGCTTTGCCTCAGTAACATTTAGCAAGGTTGCAGTTTTACATTTACTCGTTTTTTATTTGAGTAATACTTGCTGCCCGCCATCAGAGCGTTGGCTTCCCAGCGCCTTGCACAGTGCCTGGTTCAGTAAATCTTTGCTGAATGACCCTCCCCTCCGCCTGCAAAAACACCTATCAAAACAAAGACCACGCCAACGTACGTTGTGCTCTGTGGTAACAAGAGGTCTCATCTCGCTACTGGCGGAAAGTTTCTTCCTCCCCCAGCTCCCCAACTCCACACCGGGTAAACCTAATCCACAACATTCTCCCCCGCCCAGGGGGCTACGGAGGCTGGGTTGGGGGAAGCCCCTTTCCCAGCCGCCAGCCTCTCCCCCGACAAGGCTGCTATCGCTTACCTTGGCCACTTTGGGAATGCGTTGCTTTCCGGCTGCGGTGGAGGCTGCCATGTCTGAAGCAGCGGGCCTCAGTCGACCCCTCAACACTAAAAGCTTGCTTGAGGGCTCGCCGACACTCCAAAGATTTCTGATAACAAGCAAGACCCAGGAAGCGGAAGTTGAGCTAACTTGGGTGACCTTTGACTTCTCGCACGCGCTGTGACAGCGGAAGCGTCGTTTCCGTGGTAACGGGATGCGCGTCCTACCTGGAACTGGCGAATTAGTACGCTCCGTGGAGCTGCTGGTGAGGTGGGTAGCGCGGTCCTGGCAGGAGGAAACGCGGAGACTGGGTCCAGGGCATCAGGAACTCATCCCCGGGCCAGACTCTGGGACAGAGATGGCCATGCGAGGGCTGGTGGATTTGCCAGGCGTCACTGGACAGCTCCGATTCATACAGTTTAGAGGCTGGGAAGACTTGATAGCGTAGTGCTTAAGGCATTTAACTGCTAACCAAAAGGCTGCCGGTTCAAAGCCAACAGCCACTCCTCTGAAGGAAGATTGGGCAATCTACTTCCGTAGAGATACCGCCTGGGAAACCCAAAGAGAGATTGCTTTGAGTTGGGATGGACTCGATGGCAGTGAGTATTTTGAGAGGGCTAGGGAAGACAGGGG